AATAAAAAAATAGATTAATTAAGAATCTACAAGCTAAAAATAGAATATCAGATTATATTAAAGTACAGTATTTCTAGAAAGTCAAATAAGCTCTTAATAATTTTTTTTCATTAATTTATACATACTATGCATAAATTCTTAGAACTTATTGAAGTTATTTAAATAAGTATTCCTTTTCAAATCCTTTAGTTCTTTCTCATAGCCTAAAAATCTTAAGAATTTTTATTATAGACTCTTGTGAGTAAGTAATTAGTTTATCTTTTGTTTTCTTCTTCATAGAGAATATTGAATTTAGATAGGCTATACTTTGATATTGCTCTAGTACTTCTCTCAAGACTTATCTAGCAGCTAATATAAATATTCCCTTCTTTATTTTTGTTCAAATTCTTGTTATCTGAGCTCAATTCCTATTAAGTCAAAAAAGTTAATTGATAAATAATTCTACAGCCCAAGAATCTTATGATTTATTATAATTTTAATGCTTTCTATTTTCTATAATAAAATTTTTGCTTATCATAAAATAAGATTTTTTTGTATAGTAGTAATCTTTATTTGCTTTCTATACAGTTAAATTTTTTTTTTTTTTTTTTACTTAACTTTGCTAATTAAATTTTTATTTTACTTTTTCTAGAGGTTAATACTAAAATACTGACAACCTAGTTTAAATTTATTTTAATATTGAATTTGACTAGATTATTTCTAGGTTATAAATATTTTATGAGTTCTGAGCTAAAAATTAGTAAGTATAGTCAGTACTAACAATTTTTTCTTTTATTCTAGAGTTAATTCTAAATTTAATTAGAAGCTCTTGTTAAAAAACTTCTTATTGAACCTTTTTAATAATCTGTTTTCATAGTATTAACAAATTACTAAGTATATTAGCTACTAAATTATAATCATAAAACAAGATTATATAGAGTGTACTATGAAAATCTAACTTCTTTAAGACATAGTAGTCTCTAATAGTTGAGTAGTTGTATATATAGAATGTTTTACTATATTGTTAAATTGTTTTTTAATAGTTTAATTTTTGCTGTTATCTTTTGCTTAGTTTGTTATACTTTAATATCTTAACTAAGGCAGTGTAGACTTTATTATTATATTAATTTTCACCTTCTAAAATATTAGCAATAGGCTAATATATTTGTTAGTCCTTTAGCTCCTTAATATTATTTGAAATATTTATACCAATTTTTATCTTTTTTTTATTATTTACACTTTAAATAGAGTTATATCAAATCTTATAGTTACTACTAAATTTGTGAGTAATAAAATAGAATCTGTGATTTAAAGATAAGTTAGAATAATAGTTTTACTAACTAATATTTACAACCTACTACTAAACTAACAATAACTCTAATAGTAGAAAGTAGAAAGAGGTTATAAAAGATTTAGTTCTAGTTTATTAGAGTTAAGATTAGTTTATTTATATTTGAGAAAAAGTAATTATAGATTAAAAAATATAGTATCTAAGTTACTATAGAGAGAGATTTATTCTTAAAACTTGAGATTGTTTTATTTAACTTGCAATAAGCTGAGTTTTTTCTTATTGAAAGAAAAATACAATACTTATCCTTTATATTGTAGAGGGATACAGACAAATTTGTCTGCATAATAGTCTAAATATAGTAATGATTTACATTTTTAAAGTATAACAAACCAACAAAAGGAAGACTCCCAAAATGGTTCTTACAACTATCAACCAAATTAGATAATCAAACTGTTCCTGAAAAATGGCCACTACTCAACTTATCACAAACTAACTATTTCCTGAACACACTTAAATACTTTTCTCCAAATAATTCTATAAATACTCTTCTATGCTACTTTTATTAATCAAATACTCAATTATACTTTCAATATAATGAATCTCTCAACAAATCTTACTCTCTAATCACTTATAACACATCTGAACAAGGACAAATACAACTACAAACTCATCAACTAACTCTACCTTCTAATCTAAACTTCATTAATATCTCTAACTCTAAAATTTACAAAAAAGAAAATTTATATAATATCCAAATTGATATTCAAAAAATTCTTGCTTTAATCAAAATTCAACAACAATATCAATTAATATCACCAAACCAAACTTTAATTTTCTCTCCACAAATCATCCTCCCTCCTTACGATATACAAATAATCCAAGATTATATATAATCTTCTCTATACCAAAATCAACTAATTAATTTATATTATCAAATTCTAAATCTAAACTCTGATAATCTTTATTTTTATATAGATACTTCAATTAAAAATATTAGAACTCCATAAATTCAAGTTGGAATTGCTTGGATTGCTAAAAATAATGTAAAAATCTACTTCAATACAGTAGTTCTCCTATATCCTGATACTTCTAGAACAGAAATGGAAGCAATATTATACTTACTATTAACTATACCTACTAACTCAACTATTAATATCTATACTGATAACAAAACTGCTATTAATTATCTGAAATCTTCAACTAATATTGCTACTTCTCAAGGAAAAAATTAGAATATAAATTTTATGATTAATCAAATTATAACCAAAAAACATTTCAAATTAATTACTCACAAAGTCAAATCTCATTCAAAAAACGATTTCCATAATCAAGCAGATCTATTAGCTAAACATAGAACCTCTAAACCAATAATATCAATAGATATTACAAAATTAAATCCTCCAATTCACTTTCAATAGAATCAATATACTATCCCTTTCAAACTTCGAACTTTTATCAAAAATACAATAACTATTAAAGAATTACATAATTTCTCTCAACTCAAATATCTCCAAAATCTCCCTAAACTAAAATGGTCAATTATTTTCTCTATTATAATTCTTTAGAAAATAACCCCTACAAATACTCACTTCGAACTAAAATTATTACAAATAATCTTCCCACTATGCAAAATCTTTCTATCTGCTATCCTCATCTTTACTCTACATCTAATTGTACAAGATATCAAACTCTTGAAAGCATATTACATCTCTTTTCTTTCCCTTTTACTTCCCATAACAATACAGAAATACTAATAAATACTATTCAAGATATACTTTTAGATCTCAAACTTAACTCACTACTTACACAACAAATTTTAAATATTCTTTTATTATCTTCTATATATTTATCAAATAATATTCCTTTACTTCTTTTTCATATTATTATTAGCTTCTACCCACTAACTACTTTTGATAATCTTAAAGCTACTTTATATAACCAAACAGAAATATTTCTTACAAAACTCTTTAACCTCATACTTGATTGGTTCTATCAAGATATTTGGTCTCAAAGAAATCTTTATCAACATTAATAGAAAACAGCTTGAAACATAATACTAAAAGCTAAAAAGAAAAAGGTCTCCTTCTCAACCTTATTTTTAACAAGCTCATCTCAAATAATTCAACCACAATCTCTATTCAATATTTCTGATTTGACAAAAAATTAGTTCTTATATAGATATTCTCTCACTACTTGTATTTAATAATGCTAAGACTAATACCTTAGGGATTCTTCTAACCTATCCTTAGTCTAAATTTAATTTGAAATAATTAGTTTAGCTTTTTCAGAAAATAGGAGGTGTAATGTCACATTGGGTGCCTAAAAATATAGTACAAATGTTTTAGAAATCTTAAATATTGTACATAGACTTAATTCTATATTTTCAATTAATAAAGTTTCTACTTTGGCATTATAAAAAAAAAAAAAAAAAAAAAAATTTGAAAGATTGAAATTTTTTTGATTGAAGTTACTAACTAGACAAACTGAATAAAACAATCAGTTAAAGTAGTTAATTGAGCTTCTAAAGTTACAATTATTGTATGAATAGGAGCTAAAACTTTAACTAAAATTTTAAGATCTAAAAAAAAAAAGTTTTTTTTAAAATTAGTTTTACACTACAATTAGTAATTAAATCTGAATTTTTATTTATAATCTATATATATATAAATTTAATACTATAAGTAATAAAATTAAATTACCAGTAATTATTTATAAAAAAAATACTATCTATCTTACTTTAATAAATGCACATTCAAGCTGACTAACTGATAATGTATATTCATATACAGAGGCTATCTTGTATTGACAAATTTCTTTAATCCACTATCTAAAATTTTTAAATCATTAATTGTCTGTTGTAAGTATGTATTTGGCTGATGAGATTTTTTAAAATATTTAATTATTTTATTATAATCTTTAATTAGACATGAACCAAATATATGCTTTAAAATAAAGTATATTATATTAATATAATAATTATATATATGATATTATCTACTCTAATACTTACTAAGAATATCTTTTAAAATAAGATTAATATAATATGCAATGCAATTTAAATTTAAAATTTTTGGATATTTTTCGTGAATAATTTTTTGAGCAAGTTTTATGTTGTTAGCATTATCAGTTACAATTACCACAAATCTGTTTTTACTAATTTCACTTATAATATTATTAATTTTGTTTGCAAAAAATTCAGAAGTATATGAATTTAAAGAAAAATTATATAATGAATATAAAAATTTGTTATGTATAGGTGTTAAAATGATAAAACTATAGATCAAACTCCTATTATGTGATATCTACCTATCAAGTACTATAAATAATTATAATTAAATAATAGTAATAAATTATAAAGAATAATTTTATTATTATTATATAATACCTATAGTTAAATTACTTGATTCATAAAAAATAGCTTCTTGCTTTATTATAACTCTAGAGTATTCTTGGTTTAATAATTAATCTGCTAAAACTTTTCTTAATAGTGGTTGATAACTTAGATACAAACATTAAAGAAGATCAATAAAAAATAGATTTTCAATTATAGAGAATGAAATGCTACAAACTATAAAAGCTTTTAACAATATACTATTTATAGCATTTATTCTTGTCTCAGATAAACTATCACTTAATTGTAGAAAAAAAATCAAAATATTAGACTATTTATTAATTATTTTTTGTTTTTTAAAGTTTTTAAAACTGATTCTACTTCATCTGACTTATTGCAATGAGCTATTCATTGTAAATATAATTGACAAATATCATCATCTATATAAGAGCATTCTAGAGCAAGATGAGTCTCCAGTTTTAGAAGTTCACTTCTTACTCATTTAGCTAAACAATATACACATTTTGCTGAAAAATATCTAGGTGAACTTTATTTTTCTCATTCAAAAAACTCCCAAATAGCTGATAAATTTCATTCTTCCAAATCTCCTGAATCTCCCAAACCTTCAGAACTTCTTGAATTTCCAGAACCTCCAAGACTTGTTTCATTTGATATGCCTAATTCATTTAATATACCTGATTTATTTAATATGCCTAATTTATTTGATATGCCTAATTTATTTGATTCAGAAATATGAGTTGAAGATGTTGAACTTCTGTCTTTTGAATTTTTGTTTACTTTTTTGAGACATTACTTTTTTTTTTGTAAAAAAATTATATCAGTATATATATATATAAATTTTTTTTTTTGTAAAAAAAAAAAATTATGGTATCGATATATATATATAATTTTTTTTTGTTAAAAAAATTATAAATAGATGAGATATATATATATATATAATTTTTTTTTTTTTTGTAAAAAAAATTGTGATATCAGTATATATATATATAATTTTTTTTGTTAAAAAAATTATAAGTGAATAGCGATAGAGTATATATATATCTTTTGTTTTGTTAAAAAAAAAATTGTAGATAAAGATAAAGTAATTTTTTTTTTTTTTACTACATAATATACATTTATACAGTTAGGCTTGAATCAGATAAATAGCTGGAATAGTTTGACCTATTTTCTTGACACTAATATACAAAGTATTATAAAGCTAATACATATAACAATAATAATAATATCACTATTATGAGTACAGATCTAGTTTTAGCCTTATATGATAGTTTATAATAAGTGATATTTGGAAGTTTTTTTTTCTGCACAATACAATATACAGATTAGATTTAATTTGAATAATCAGTTTAAAGCTCATTGTACTATATATACAACTAGTAATAGGATCTCTTGAATTATAATTAATTTTTTTTTTTTTTTTTTTTTTTTTTTTTTTACTTTATATAAATGCCATCAGCTAACTTTTATTAATTTCATAAATTTTGGAAGTGATATATATTGTGAGAGTACAACTAGCCACACATACAATTTTAGATTGTCTATTTTAAGTAGTTCGCTCGAAGGTTCTTTACTAGCTGCTATATCTGAAATCTCTTAGAAGATTTCCTATTTAAACTCTCTGGCCTTATCCCACTTACTACAAGTATTACTCTTTATAGTTAATCCAAACCCCATACTACTCCATATTGGGAGGCACCTAAGCTGACATTAGTCACAACTTTACTATTATAGGCCCAAGTCTTATCTGAATAAGTCCTGCTTCAATACCCCCTAATAGATAGATGTCATGATACCCAACTATACTACGCTATATTCCTATTCTAGCTTGCATATACCCTTATTCGAAGTTCGTACAAACCCAGTTCTAGCTGTGGCTCTCCACCAGTTTAGACTTCTGTATTCTTCTGAATGTTTCACAAGGAAGATTCTCTCAATCTAGTTAGCTGCTAAGCCAAGTTAGTATTGCCGTAACACTCAATATCACGGACTTTCTCACACCCACTTGATCTACATCTTCGTACTCAGAAATATTTGTCAGATCAAGCGTTAACTGGTGTGACTGTTGAAATCCTACTACTTCACCTAACTCAGAATTTCTACCATACAGATCCTCTGCCCATAGATCCTATCTCAATTTATTCATGTAATGCAACTCAAACATTCTGTCACACTTCTAATATTCAGACAATATTAATGCAATGTGATTTATAGGGTTACAACTCAGAAATGAACAGAGTTTACTATAAGTTGAATACAAGGTTTAAGTAATTATTCAAAGTGTCGACAGAAAGATTTGAACCCCAAACCTATTGCATAGCGGTCTGACAACCTATCCACTATACTAGATTACCAGACTTTAATTATAATTAATTAGTTGAGTTACTTTTTAATTAAAAACTACTTAATAATATATGGCACAGCTATATGAAAAATTGTATATATTGATATAGAAAATATACTTTGTGATTAGCTTTATGATACATATCAATTTTCAATCATTAATATTCTTATATTGGTATTTAAATAATTAGTAATTATCATATTTCTTTTATTATATTATTATTATATTAGATGATAAATAATATAATAAAAGTAATGTGACAATTCTAATATATATTAAATAATTGCCAAAATTATTAATTATTATTAACTATTATTAACAAATTATTATGTAGTGTTTTATTATTAACTAAAAACTCAATAGGTCCCATCACTATATACATACAATAAATCTCATGTTAATGCTACTATTATTTATACTTCAATAAGTTATTCAATTTTGTTATTCAATTTTGTTATCATTATGTATTAACCAGTTTTTATAATTTGATCTGCATATATAGTCAGAAGGAGTTTATGCACTAACTAGTTTTCAACAGTTCCTAAAAAAAAAATAGTACTTTAAAATTTTTTTTTACATATTGATTGTTGTATATTTTTTAATAGCTAAAATATATAATTTAACTTTGTCAGTAATAGTTGTGCAATATAGTTAAACAAAACCAGAAACAAGAATATAATTTTTTGCAATAATATGTAATATTTGTAATATAATAATTTTTTATTAAAAATTTATATTTTGATAAAAATATACCTTGTACACTAGTTGAAATTTGCAAAAACAGCACTAAATCAGCAAATATTCAGTATACTATTTAGTAACTATTCAGCAAAAATTTAGTTAACATTTAGCTGCTATTTGGTACAATTGCTACTACTTGGTATTTGTGAATGCTGAGTAGTAGCAATTGTACCAAATAGCAGCTGAATGTTTACTGAATTTTTGCTAAATAGTTGCTAAATGATATGCTGAATATTTGCTGATTTAGTACTATTTTTGCAAATTTTAACTAGTGGTAATCGACAACCTTATATCAAATACAATCTTAAAATTTTAATATAATCAAAGTATTATTATTAAAATTAAACAATCACTATAAAAATATCATTTCTCATTATAACTACTATTATTATTAAAATCAAATAATTACTATAAAAATATTATTTCTCATTATAATTTTATTTAAAAAATAAATATTTCAATTTTAGAAATTCTTTAATAAAAATAACAATTTAAATTATTAAAAAATAATAAAAAAATACTATAATTTAAAACCTATACTACTTAGTTCAATAATATCTAATTAACTAATTAATCTATATTAACTATTAGAAATCTAATATTTACTAATAACTCTTTTATTAGTTTTTAATCTTATTACACTTTTTGGCTTCATAAATAATCAAAAAAAATTGCTAGTTATAATGATTATAATAATTATAATGATTATAATAATTATAATCATTATACTCATTATAATAAGTATAATCATTATAATAATTTTAATGATTATAATATATATAATAATTATAATCATTATAATTATTATAATAATTATAATTATTATAATCTGTACTATATTCTTTTTTATATAAATAAAAAACATTTTACATTTCTGCTCAATATTGAGCAATTGATCTAAAATATCAGATATAAAAATCTGAAATATTAAATGAGCTGCTGTTAATAGAAATAAAGCAAATTAATATTTGAAAAAAATTAATACCTTAACTTTTATAGCTTGTATCAAATAAATTTTGAAGCTATCTTAATAATTTAATATATAATATAAAGCTTAGTTCTTAAGCTTTTTTTTGAATATTAAATTATTATAATAGCTTTAAAATTCATCGAAATACAAGTTGTAAAAGTCAAAGTATTAATTTTTTTTCAAATATCAATTTGCTTTATTTCTATTGATAGCAGCCCAAGTGTTCTATCTCTATCACTATAATTTCTAAAATATAAAATCACTAAAATCACTTATTTGATCTTTTACTAAGTATAAAGATCTTTATACTTACTAAGTTATATAATTTGTTTCTATGATAATATTGCATTGCCTAATTTACTCTTTGTGATAGTGTAATAGTCATATTGTTTGTTGAGTAAAGTATAACCTGCTGCTTAATCTTGTATTTGATTATCCTAAAGGTAGAAGATAAGTCTATTTAAGTTGATTAAAGGAAGTTTAAGAAACTTGATAATGAAAAAAGACCTGCTATATGACTTGAGTTCAAAACAATAACTAAGTCTTATATTTCACTTAACAAATCTAAACATCTCTCTTGATAGTGTTATCTAAGTAAATAGTAAGTTTGTTGCTCAATTTTATAGATCTTTATATAATGTTCTAATATAATCTATTAAAAAATGATGTAATAATTAGACAAAGAGATTTTCAAGACTTCTGTTATCATTCAGTCTCTGGTTATATAGTAGGTCTTTAAGGTTATTAATTTTCTTAACTTCTTACAATCTATTCAAGTTGATCTATTCTCTCTCTTAGAATAGTCAAATACAAGATTTAAAGAACTAGTTCTCTTTAATCAAATGACTTAACAACACTTTACTCTATTACAAAGAGTAATTAAATAATGTAACATTATCATAGGGTTAGTTTATTGCTTAGCAATAATCAGGTTAAAAATTATAAGTGAATTTATTGTGAAAAGAAAGTTTGACAATTTAATCATAGCGAATATAATAAATATATAACAAAGTATATAAGTGATGCTTTTTGACCTTTAATAAAAATAACTTCAATAAGTTAAGAAATAATAACTTTTCATAAGTTTAAAACTACAACTTGAGAGTTTGAATAAGACTCTAAAAGTATAGTGTTGAGAAATAATACTTTGAAATTCGAGTAGAAGTATTATACTTTAAAAACCTTATTATCTAAAAACCTATTAATAATAAACTACATTTCTGTGAAAATCCAATTTAGATCAATTTAAAACAATAGATCAATCATGCTCTAGATAGATTTATTGATAAACTCATCAATTAACAATTACTATTGTTAAATTGCCAACTCAATCAGAGAATAAACCAAATCACATGCTGCTATATTAAGTATTGAGTATAAGAAATCAAATAAGTAGAAATAGAAACAACTAAAAGAAATAATCAAGAACTAATAATTACCTACTTAAAGAACCAGGTCTAATCTAAGAATATCTCTAAAACCTAAACCAAATTTTTCATGCCCTCTTTCAACGCCTACCACTTGAGGTATATTATTGGATTAATAGTGTTATTATGTTATAGTTGCTAGATCTAAATATTGGTGTAACTCAAGCCATAGGATGAATTCTGTAACAGAACCAGTTTACACTTTTTACTATAAAATTAAGCTATAGCTAAGTTATATAGGTCTAAAAAGTAAACTCAAAACTCAAATTTCCTATGTGACAATAGGTTGTTAAGTTACATTACATGAAAATCATACTGTTTGAGTGACTAACTCACTATTTCCAAGTGTGACAATATATATATATATTTCATTATATAATATAGGACTATATAGTCTAATGATTCATCTTAAAAAATACCAAATTGACCTGATCTTTAGATAGATCAAAGGACTGTTAGTTTGAGTTGGACTAATTAATAGTTTTAGCTATACCAATTTCAATATTATTATTTTGTTCTAACCAAATATATATGCCGAATTTCTAGTGTTAATGATCAAGAAATATGTCATACTACAGAGGGAGGTTCTGTACTCATATATTAAAATTTTTTGATTGCATGATATTTTTCATATGAGTTATGATGTTTTCTTCCTCTTCAAGTTAAAGTGACTTTTTTTTTTGCTAAACTATATACTTGTTGCATTTAATAAAAGTATAAGGTTTAGTCTTTTATTTTACTTTTAATAAATTTGCTGTTTATAGAACAACTAGTTTTTAAATAATCTCGAATTGCAGCTAGTCAACTGTAAAAACATTACACAGAGTTTTATTGAAAATTTTGCTTATTGTTATTGTTATTTTTTTTTTTTATACAGGATATTATTATTATAATCATTATAAGGCTCCAAGGATTTTTAAATGACTATTAAATTTGAATAAGCAGAACAATTTGAGTAGAAAAATAATTCACAATAATTATTATTTTTTTGGTTTTTTTGCAAACTTTTTTTTTGTCTTTAAATCTTGGTGACATAGTTTTATAAATATTAAACTTTGTCTTCCACACATTAAACTTTGCCTTTAAATATTAGTGATGCATATAGTTATTTTTCTGCTATACATTAAACTTTGTCTTTAAATATTAATAACATATATAGTCATTTTTCTGCTACACATTAAACTTTGGTAATGAATTTTGTCATTTTATGTTATATTAAACTTTCATCTTTAAAATTTATAATGTATTTCATTTAAACCTTTTTTTTTGTATTTTTTTTTGTTTGGTGTTTATTTTTTGTTACTATAAACTATCACATTTTAATTGATGCTACTAGAGTTTTTTCAGTTGATATCATTTTTGCATTTTTTTTTTTTTTGACTAAAAATTTTTTTAAAAAAGATTACAAACTCTAATGCATATAGACTTATTATTTTTTATAATAAATGTTTGCTTCCTAACTATTAGTATATTGGTGTTGTGATTGTATCATTAGTATTTTTTTTTGTGAATCATTTTGAGTCATCATTTTTTTGTCATATTTATTTTCAAATTTACATTATTATAAATAACTTAATTTTAGAAAGTGTGAATATTTATGAAGAAGTGTTTTGTAATGATCCTGATAAGGATTTTAAAATACTGATGATTTTAGTATTAGAGATAATTCCAAAAGTATTGAACAACCAACCACATCTTCATTATCATCTGCATATAGTACAATAAATATTGATAGTGAAATATATGATAATTTGAATGACCTTTATTTTGACAAAATGGCAGTAGAAGTAGCTAAGGCATATGCTAATTCAATATCACAATTAATATAAGAGTGAGTTGAAGAAACTGATGTAAACTAGTTAGCAACTAAACTTGATACAATAACTGTCAAAGAATCTTTGTAGGAAATAACTAATTATTAAGAAAATAAACTAGACATTAAACTTAATAATACAAGTGGCAAATATATAAATAGTATATGTATTATAGTAGATAATTTAAATAGAATATTATAACGATGTTCACAATCTGTATCTAAACTATTAAAACAACTTGGTGAAATTTAGGAGTTAGACTTTGAAGCTATAAATCAAATTGTATCAGTACCAAAATATAATAGTTTAGATTTATTAGGTATTTGCTTGAGTTACTTTAACTACAATAATAAGCAATTACATAGTTATCAAAAAAAAGAGATTAGCATTAACAAAATATTAATTCATTGAAAAAAATGTTTATCTTGTGGATTCAACAAGAATATATTTAGTTGCAGAGGTTATTATAAGAAGCACTCTTAGAAATTATGCAATCAAAATATACAAATAGTATGTAATAGATTAAAAGCTTGTCTTGTATTTTAAGAGAATGATTTTATTAAACAGTCCTCTAATACTAAGTGCATATGATATGTATATATATTATATTTTGCACATAAAGATGGACATTTATACGAATAGAGAGAAAGAGGTGCTACTCTCCAATATGATTATGCAGATCAACATCATGATGATTTTATAAAATCTCTTCAATTTTTAGCCAAGTGGATGAATATTATATCAGAATTAGATCAAAAAGATATTCAGAATCTTCTTCTTAATGAGGTTTTTAAAAGAATCATAGAGTTTTTTGAGAAAGTAAACTTAAAGAAAAAAAAACAAGATATTAGTAATGAGGAACTAGATGATATAAAAGGAAATATGAATACTAATCAAAAAAAAAATATGGAAAAAAAGGCTTTAATTCTGAAACCCCCAAGTTTTTTAGGAGTAAAGATCATATTTAGATTGAAAAAAATCAATCTTAAAAAATTTTCTAATAATAAAACATTTTGTAACATAATGAAAAAAAATTCAAAACAAATTGGTGAAGCTTTAGGAACTTTACTTTGGTATTCTAGATTAGAAATTTGTACTAATAAGAAGAAATTAGAAACTCTAGGTTCTTTAAAAGAGTATTATAATGGTTTTCTATCTGTACTTTCAAATTTTTTTGATAGATTAATTAGCACTATATAACAAAATAAATGGAAGGTTGTATTAAGGAAATATAAAAAAAGAAGAACATTTGATAAAGAGTATAATGAAATACATGCAAATAAAATTATCATATTTTTTAGCTCTGTATTACTTTTGATTACATATTCAGAACTAAATTTTTGGTTCACTCATATTCTAAGTTTTCTTTGTCAGAAGCCTTGTTTGTATACTTTATTATATGTGATATTATGTGTAGCTAATATTGTTGCTTATACTAATAAGTATGAAAAACATTTAGAAAAGCAATGTCATGAACAAGTTAATTTAGATAATAAATTGTGAAAAGATAAAAATATATAGATCTTTGTATAGTTGATAACATAGATTTCTAGAAAAGCATATTCAGATATGATAATATTTTTGATATGATGAGAAAAATAGCTCATACTATACTTAGAATGGTATTCTAATACTAATTTCTACAAACAATATCAAATATTATAGAATCATATTATAGTGAATTACTTAGCTTACAAATTAGGTAATCAATATTTATTGAAAATGAAATACAAAAGTTTGAAAAATATTTGATCAATTTGTTGAAGAAAAGTGGTAGAATTATGATATTTTTGAAATAAAGTCAGAATTATGAAAAGATATTTTAATCAGTTTTAAAATACCACAATCAAATATTGTTATTCTAAAGCCAGAAGACAATTTCTGCAATAATATAAATGTTTACAAAGCAATAAATATATATTTTGATGATGTGGGAGTTGAACAAAATAATTTTTTAGATATATCTGCAGATCAAGTAATATTTTGCCAATTGGTTCCATTATATATAGCAAAGCAAGAAATCTATTTGTTGCTTAGTAGCTAGCATACAAACAAATATATGTTAAATACTTTATTAGCAATTTTTTCAGGCTATAGTATATAGCAGTTGGCAGCTAGCTTAAGTATCTCTTTTTTTGATAAACTCAAAAAGGTAGTAGACTATATAGCAATATGCAGAATAATTGAATTGATTTGAGTCATAGTAGGTAGTTCTATTATGGCTTATATAAAACATAAAAAATTAGATATAAAAAATATCGAGTCTGGAGATAATAATATTTTAAAAGTTTGGTATCGATTCTTTATATGAGCAGAGTTTTGGGTTTGTTATAAGAATAGAATTAGATATAAAAACTATCATATGCAATATTATAGTTTGTCTGCTTTTGCTCCTCTGTTTGCAATAGCTAGTTGATATAATTATTCAAAATCTGTAACCTATTATTTAGCTCAAGTTGACAATGATCTAGCATTGCAAGTTTTATTAGATTATACATGCTCAATAAATATAACAAAATCAGACTATTTTTTGGTATTTGATAAAGCCCTTGAATCTTTTGAAATAAAGTATGTTAAACAAAATATCTGAAAGCATTTAGAAACTACAAAAGATCTAAAAGAAAGAATTATATCTATATAATTAGAGAGAAAGTAAATGAATTTGTTATTAAATGAGTTTGTTGATGATTCATTGTCTATAAATACAGATCGTAATTTAAAATCAAGAAAAGAAGTACTACAGAAATTGACAAATGAACTTTTAGAAATATTCAATCTATCTGATCCAGCAATACATTCTTTATTTCAAAATTTATCTCAAAATTATAGTAAAGGGTTTTGTAGACTTTTTGTCTGTTACAATATTGGAAAAGAAAAGCTTTATAATTTTTATAGACAGGATATAGAGAAGACAATTGAATGTAATACAGCTAGCAGGCATGCATAAAATATAGTAGTTAATATTATCTTTTAGCAAAAACAGTAAGAGACAAAAGAAAAGGAATGAGAAAAACAAAAATTATATGATAAATAGTCAGAAAAGAAGAGAGCAAATGAAGATATAAATAATTTATATATAATATCTGATATAAGTTCAAAAAAACAAAGAATCTCTAAAAATATAAATGACAAGTTTTATAATAATAAAGAGCTCAACTCATATGCTCAATATCAAAATAAATATAAGATATAATAAGTTTTGTCTATTTGATCGAATCATTATTAGGTAATATCAAATTTCTTTATTTGTATTATTATCATTATTTTTTTGGTTAACTTTTAATTATGTTTTAATACTAATTACTATTTTGTTTAAAAGTATTATTCACAATTTTGATCACACGAGTTTTTGATAAATAATAAAATAATAACTAAAATGAACAATAGATTTTTTTAAAAAAAGTTAAAAGTAATACTCTATTTTACAATTAATACAATTAGCAATTGATATTAAAGTGAAGTAATCTTTCTTTTTAATAATAATAATAATAATATAGTTGCTAATTTCTTACTTTCTTCCTCTAAAGTCAAAGAATTTTTATTAAGCTGCTTTGTAGAATATTGAAAACTACGGAAAGAACCTTATTTGTTAATAGTAATATTATATTTATTATTATTTAATAATCAGTTTTGTTAAGCAGTAGTTTTTATTTCATTAGATAGTATTCAATAATAAGAAGCAAGTTATAGAAAATCACATAAAAAAGATTCTCAAACTGAAAAGTAGAAATATGAAGTATATGAAAAGATAGCTCAAAAGAAAGGTATATCAACTCAAATTAACAAAGAATGAGCAAGTTGCTGTAAACATCTGATTGGCAAAAGAATCTGAAACGTGTAAAGCTATTGAGTATGTTAGAATGATTTAGATATTTATAATAATTAAAAAGTATATTTTATATATATTTGCTGAAAGCAATTATCCATTATCTAGGATTCTTTATAATATATAACAAGATAGATTTGTAGGTTATAAAAAAAAAAAAAAGATATTTCAAATATTATATTCTTGTTATGTATTTGCAATCTTTATAGTACAAATTATTATATTACATTGTATTTATTGAATAGATACATTTGATTTATCTAGCATATAATAACTTTTACAAAATAAGCATTTTTAAGATTATATTTTATCTAATTCAGATCACTGTTCTGTTTTAAAAGACCAATATTTTGTATAATTAGTATACTCAGGTGTGTTGGCAATTATTTTTCTCAATTATTTTGTAAAATTGTAATAGTAATAGTCATCTTCATAAAATCATTGATTAAATGAAAGGAAATTCGCTTGTTTCCAAATTAAGATTATGACTATAAATCAATTTCATATTATGTTCATACTTTTTGCTATCTCGAAGGTAGTTAGAAAGAATATATGCTAGTATGTATGTTACATCTAAGCTTGAAACGATAGCATAATTTAAATATTTAGAATATTCCAAAATCTGCAACCAAGGCTATCATTGTTTATAAAAACATTCTTATAAAATACTGTTAGTTTATATTATTAATTTAGAATCAAATAGTTAAAAACCAATATTGTATATACTAGAATAATTAAAAAGTTAACCTATTTCTCAAGATATTAAATAAATTATTATAAATCAAATCAAATAATGTATCTATATTAAACATTTATAAAGAAATTTATTTCTTAATAAATAGATAAGAAAAGTTATTGGAAATTAAATCAGATAATGCACAGGTATTAAGAAGTCTCAAAAAGATTATTGCCTAATGAAAAAATATAATAAATCCCTTTAAACTCCCATTAATATTGAATAACTAAAAACATTCTAACAGCATGATCTATTCTTCATTTGAAGCTTTTTTTATCTTTTTTATTTCGATAAAAATTAGTGCATTAAATATTCTAATGGCATATCTTATCTTTGATACTATCTGAATATCTTATGATTATTCTTTCTTTATTAATAACAATAACTAATAATAGAAAAGCAAAAGAACAAAAAACTATAAGAAGCTAATCAGTATGCAATGCCAAAAAGAGTGTAAAGTGAAATAGCTTGAGTAAAATTCTACTATTTTTATCTGCAATTCGTAAAAAGACAACTTAATTTCAAACAAACTCTTACTAAACAGTATTCAAATAAAGTGCCAAAACTTGAGCCAGAATAGCAAAGTGATTTAATTATTTGAAAAGGTCATGAATTGTAAAGAATCTTAAAATTTATTTTTATTTTAGCTGAATGGAAGAGACCCAGTATTCGTTAGTAATAATAAAAATTTTTATCTTAATTTTATGTAAATATAGAGCTGCTGTGATACAGAATAATACAAATAATAATGGCAATAACAACAGTAAATCGTTTAGCAAAAGGTAATATAAGTCATTTATTGTTATAAATGCGATAACGATAAGTAATTGAATCTTATATAGAAGTACAGATTGTGTGACATATCTTCTGACCGGTAAATTTAGTGTGTGCTATGCCAAATTCGAGTAATTCAAAAAACTCAACCAAAATGAATATTGTTAATAAATCAAAAAAAACTGCTCGATACGTAAGTGTCGAGGCAGTGTTTGTCTCGAATCAACTTAGATACGAACATGTGACATGCCCGTTTTACAGTCACATGTTTGTTCGTTCGATCAATCTAATGATCGATCAAGGTTAAGTAAGTATGAGGTAACTATTTAGTACAACTATGAGGTAATTGGTTAGTAATCGTTTGGCATAACTATGAAGTAATTAGTTAGTAATTGTTTAGTATAGTAACTTGAGTAAGTATGAGGTAATAAATGGGTAATCGTTATGAGTATATATTAAGACCTATGAGGCATGTAAGTAGGATAGCTTTGTTTCTTCTGCAAACCCGATATTAGTTCTGGTTACATCAACCCCACCCGCCCTTACTCCAATGTCATGCAGAGTTAGATCAGGCATGATGAAAATTGATATTGAAATATGGCCTGTCGGATGACAGTCATATTTGTATGCTTTCTTCTCATGACCTGTCTATACGACAGTCAAATATATAATATATACAGCTCCTTTATGACCTGTCGAGACGACAGTCAATATGTATACAGTTCCCTTGTGATCTGTTGGGCAACCATCAAATATAAAAAAAAAAAAAAAAAGGTCGATCCTAAAGAAACTGCGAAGATTGCTCGTTAAGCAGGAGAATAACCCATTTGTATTTTCTTAGTTGAACCCAAAAATGAGAGACAAACAAATATTCTACTAATTATTGTGAACTTTGCCAGGTAAATATTCGAAAATGTGTAAATCTTTGGATTGTTTTTATTTATATTGATATTTAAATGTTGATTCTGGATGTAGCAGTAAAAAAAAACAAATTCGACAATTGATATATTATGCGATTAAAATGGTAATGCATAAAATGATGATTAATAAAATTACTAAATTTGAATGCTTTTTGTAATAAAAATCGTACAATTTTGTCACGTAAAAGGAATTTAAAAAAATTAAGAGTAAATAGTAATTATCGTAAAGGGAGCTTAAAATTTAAAATAGCCCCTCTATTACCCATTTTTGCATTTATAAAGAATATTTTTATTAGCTCTTTATATAATTTTAACATTAATTTTATTAATATTAAAAATAAATTCCAATCATCCTTTTTCTATAATAGATTGTCAATTCTAAATCAAAGAATTACAATCACCCTTTTTTTATACTCGATTGTCAATGGTTAAATCATGGGCATGTTTGAAGTGCGCTTACTAAAAACACTCTTATAAAGATCTTTTCATAGTATCTAGCACTATATTCATTACTTCCCCGTTCCTGGTTTCGCGCAATATTATATAGTAAATTCTAACGATTAACTCCAGAACTCTTTGATCAAATATCGTGATTGTTATGCTAATTAACCAATTCCTTGTTATCTGCTAAAATCGTGATTTTCCGAAAATGTGATAACCCGATAATGTGACCAAGAAAACTACGTCACTCTAGTTGGAATATTTGTATACTGTGAGACCCGAAAAGTAGTTAGGTTGGGTCCGTAATGGTATAACGTAACCACAGGTCACGAGGATAAAAGTTATATAAATTACATAAGTTAAATAAATTACATAAATCACATAAATTACATAAATCGCATTTATTGCATTTATTACATTTATTATATTTATGAGATTTATGTGATAAATTAGATATACGTATTACTTTTATGGCATTTATGTAATAAATGAGATAAATTGCATTTAAATTTATATTATAAATAAAGGCCGTGTTGGCCCATAGAGAACGGAACAACTCTCCTAAGTTCGCTTCTAAATAAACTAAGTCCTTTATTAAATAACTCCTACTACCTAACTCATACTTTCCTTAATTACCTTACCTCCGATATTCTACTAAGTGGCATAGTAGCGAAGCCCATAGATTAATTCATGATTACCGTGCCCCCGATGTGATAATTGACTCGTACCTTAGTGGTAGGAAAGGCGACCTAAGCTTTAGAACATCCGCCTCTTTCGATATGATCGTCCAACTGCTGACAAGAAACAAGATCGGTTTGGTCCCGGTGACCAAACCGCCCGTTCTCAATACGTAGAATAGTTAGTCCCAAGCCTTTGTGTAACCTACCTCCGGACGAGTTCTAGAACCATTCTGGACTTTTTCAACGAATTGCTGAGCAATACACTCCATGATAATAATGATTTTGGTTTGTTACTTAATTACATTAAATTTATGCATGCATTTACGAAAAATCTTTGGTAATCATTGTGTAACACAATTTCTACACTTATAATGAAGATACGTACTTCGTGTATTCAACTTAATTGATATTGGAAAAATTTAAATTTCTGCCCTTCATGGATGATGAAATCAACATGATAGAGATGACCTATAATTATGACTGGTCATCAACCTTTCTTGGTCCTATAAATTCTTGGGAACCTTCATTTAAAACTGCTGTGGTAATTTATTAAGTTCATAAAAAGTTCATATATATAATAACGCATTAATCATTATTAATTATTCAGGATTTTTGCCTACATTCATTGTTTCCTTTCGCTATATACTGTGGACCTGATCACATTTTTATATATAATAAAGGTAAATATTTTAATTACATTCTTATTATTTATTGCATGTTTTATAGATAATAAATTAATAAATTGCATTCATTGATATAGCGATGGTACCAATTATAAGAGAAAAGCATCCAGCTGGTTAGTCACAATTTTATAACAGCATTAATTTAAATAAAAAGAGACTAATTAAAAATGAATAGCGTTTGGAAAACCATGTGCCGAATATTTCCCTAGTAATTCACCACCGCTTTTATTATATGAGCAGTAAGTAACATTAAATGTCGCGCATATATCAAACATAAATATACTAAAAAAAAATTTTTTTTTTTATAAACATAAGACTAAAAATATCAAGAAAGGGTATATTCCGTAATAACGAATGTATTTCTGTTTATCGAGATAACTATTTAGAAGAAGGTTACTTTAGCTATTCCGTGAGTCCAATTTTAAAAGAAGATGGTACATTTTTTGCCATGATGAATCTGTCAGAAGACACGACTCACAAAGTCTTAAGTAGTCGAAGACTAAAACTTCTTGGTGAATTAGGAAGTCGTTTTAATGGTTAGTTAATAGTTATTGTTTGTTTAAAGTGATTTAATAAAATTTACTCATTAACATTTATATTATCCCTTGAAGATGCTGAATCTCTAGAAAGTGCCTGTAACATTATAACTGATACATTGCATAAAAATGATAAGGACATTCCCTATGCATTAATTTATCTTATTGATAACAATAATTCAAATTCCAGGGTTAAACCTCGCATTGCATATTTAAGTGCAACAACTTTTGACAAAGATCAAAAAATGAATGATAAGAAATCAAAATGGCACATACCTGATAAATTATTAAAAACTCTCGAAATAGTTGACCTGACAAGAAGTGCAGATGAAAGTTATGATGAATATGTAGAAATAAGGCGAAACGTAACAACACATTTATTTTTAAAATGTAAATCTTGGCCAATTCATCTTGTAATAAAAGAGGATAAGCACGTTAAAGTTATCTTAAATGATGAATCACAAGCGGTACTATTTCCGGTTAAAATTGAGTCTAATAATATTTTATCTGCAATATTAATTTGTGGCATTAATCCATTTCGCCCACTTGATGAGGACTATATGGAATTTTTACAAGTATACACATTATTATCATGAAATTTATCGTATCTATTATAGGAAACATTTATCTAAATACTTTAATAATTCATTTAGTCTGTTGTGAATCAAGTTGGTTCAATCTTGAGACGAGGTGTATTAAGGGAAGAGGAAAAAAATCAGATGGAAATGCTAGCTGATTTAAATCGTCAAAAAGTCACATTATTTCAAAATATTAGTCATGAATTACGCAGTACGTATTAATTACAGTATTTATTATAATATGTACCTTTTTTTAATTAAAGTATAAATAACTTCTAATTTCAATATTTTTAGCACCATTAAGCTTAGTGCTTTCGCCGCTTGATGAAGCAATTAATTTATGCATTCAGGAAATAGAAATACATTATCTTCTTCAGATTGTTCAGCGTAACACTCGTAGATTGCTCAAACTCGTGAATAATCTACTTCAAGTAAGTTCTACATATTAAAAAAAGTGTAATACTTTATTTCAAAATTTAAAAATTACAGAATTCGTGTTTTTTTGCTTAAAACAATTTGATAAATGTTTTATCTGGTATGGCGCATACGCTGATGGACGGAAAACTACACATCAATGCCGTAGGTTTTATATTTTTTTTTTAAAAAAAAGAATTTATCACATTATTTAATAATAACCTGCGGCAATAATTAGGGATGGCAGAAAAATGATTTTTATTGATTTAAATCAGGTGATGTTTATAATCTAAATATTTGTATGCGATGTTTAAACATATTTAAATCATAAACATCACCTGATTTAAATCAATAAAAATCATTTTTCTGCCATCCCTAGCAATAATTTGACAGTATCTGCCAAATGATAAAATATGCGATAAATTCCGTGATTAAGATTCAAAATGAAAAAAACCATGGTCACATTCTTATTACAAGATTCAAGTATCATTATTTCAGTATTTAATTACGTTATTGAAGTTAAATCTCGTAAATTCATTATAAGTATGGATATAAAACAGTAACTTATTATATAAAAATTTTAGATATTGTTTAAAAACTGTCAGTTTGTTATTGAGAGTACCCGAGACTTTAAATTCACTAGTTTAATCTCGATATTAGTCACTCTTGAATAGTCACATGTTATTGTTATAAAAACTTTTTTTTACTAACCTGGTGATTATATCGAGGTTATACATTACAGTAAAATTATGGGGACTATTGTACTTAATATGCTTTTAAAATTTTGCAGACTTCAAGCATTGAAACCGGTCAATTAGAAATACATTATCGCAAAACTAATATAGCAAAACTTACAAAAGAATTGGCTGCTAATTTTAATAACTTGGCTAGCAAGCTAAATATAGAATATATTATTGACGTTCCGAATTCAGACGATTTTGATCAAGCTTTACAAAATAATGTATATCTGGATCGTGATTTATTTGAGACGATTATTAATAATCTATGTAGGCAAAATCATCACTTATATTTAAAGCTTAAATCAGAATAGAAATTATTATATTAAAATCCTTGCCCTTTTAAAAGGCTCAAATGCATTTAAACATACTCAAAATGGATGTATCAAAGTTCGTTTATACATCGATCGTGAAAGTGGACGTGATATAATAATTCTTGAAGTATCGGATACTGGTTGATAGTGTTTCTTTTTTCTTTTTTTTTTTTTTTTATGTATTCAGTTTTAACATACTGCTATATTTACATATTTATTCCAATTAGGCATTGGCATTTCGGAAACTGACCTTAAAAACTTATTTCAGCGTTTTTATCGTGCAGAATCTCATCAATCTCGTAGATATGAAGGCACCGGAATCGGCCTTGCTCTTGTAAAGGAGCTTATTACATGTCATGGAGGAGATATTTCTGTGACTTCAAAAATTGACCAAGGAACAACATTCAAATGTCAGTTTTTAACAGGATATGAACACTTACCAACCAATAAAATTTACTCTGGTGACGAAGAAATATTAGATTATGATGAACAATTATCTTCAAAACAACAATGGTATTTGGAAGAGAATTTACAATGGATTCAAAATAATCATTTTGAAAATAGAGAGTATACGATGGACCAGGATATTTACAGATCGTCGAGTTGGAATGTATTTCACAACAATACAAAACATAAAGTTTTGATTGTTGACGATAATATTGATATGCGGTAAATACTTCCTTATGATAATTAGACTTTAAAAAGATTGTTCTAAACATTTCATTATTTATAGAAATTATATAGAAGGATTATTAAGAAAAGATTTTGACGTGTGTTGTGCTTGTGATGGTCGTGATGCTTTACAACTTTTAACAAACCTACCAACATTACCGGATTTAGTTCTTAGCGGTAAAAGCAACTATATTTCGAAATAAATTTCAATCTTATTTCAAGTCATAAACTTGCGAGTTAATATAACATTAACTTTATTAAATTACTAGATGTCATGATGCCAAATATGAACGGATATGAATTATTAAATGAATTAAGATCAAACATGGAAACAAAATTAATTCCCGTAATTTTATTAACTGCAAAAGCTGGAGAACGCTTTAGTATTAAAGGTACCAGTAATTATTATTTTTGCTATTTATCATTTTACAAATTTCTTCACACCGATTTACATATTGTTTAGGATTTGATGATGGGGCAAATGACTATATAGTCAAACCGTTCAATTCTCGACAATTAATTGCTCGTATACATACGAACATTAAGCTCTCGAAATTTCGATATCAAATAATATCTCGACTATGTAAACAAGAAGAAAGAAAACAATTATTAATTTCAATTTCAGATAGTATTCTTTCCGGATTAGATTTAAAAGAAGCACTTTCAAAAGTTGTTAAAGAAGTTTATCAAATGATACCGTGCGATAGAATATTTATTATATTATCAGAAACTCAAAATCGTACAATGGTCGCTTTATTTGAAGATCCAGAAACAAATAGGTTGTAGTTTTTAACATATTTAATATTTTATATGAAATATAAGCATTAACACAAAATTTTTTTTATTAATAAAAGTGAATATAATGCGACAAATAATTTATTACCTGAACAGTTAAAAATAGAAGAATTTCTGGAAATTGAAGATCAAGTTGACACATTTTCTGCACAAAATGACAATGCTTTTCAAATAAATGTTTCACATGATACATATTGTGTAGATACTAATAGACAAGTATCTATGTTATCTGCGAGAATAATTTCTAATAATAGATATTTCGGATGGATAAAAGCACATAGATCACCGGATTATATTTGGGACGAAGCAGAAATTGAATTATTTCAACAAATATCAGATCAAATAAATATAGCTATAAATAATGTAAAATTAACGAGAGAGAAGATGATAAAAGAAGCACATATAGAAGCTATTAACGCTGCAAACGTTGTCAAGACTCAAATATTAGCTAATACTTCACATGGTATGAAAATAGAATATTTCTTTATATTATTATAATTTTTTTCTCACAAAGAATAATTAATAGAACTACGAACTCCACTGGGAGCAATTGTGGGAATCCTTTCTACCATTAAAGATGATAACCTAACTGATGAGCAAAGGGGCATGATTAATATTATGTTACATTCTTCAGATACTGCATTATCTACTATTAATAATATTCTTAATGCAGCAAAATTAGAGGCACATAAACTTTCATTAGATAACAAAGCCTTTGATTTATTTGATTTATTAGAAAATACAATTGATATATTTGGAGAAACAGTTGGAGATAAACAAATCGAATTAATTTTAAATTATGATATGAATACAGTGCCAAGATATGTTAAAAGTGATCCTGAAAGGTAATGCTTTATTTTTTTTTTTAAAAAAAAAACAATTATTATAAAAAAAAAGTAAATTAAATGTTTTTATTTCTACTATTTTATAGGTTAAAACAGATTTTAATACACTTATTATCAAACTCGTAAGTATATTATTAGATTGCAAAGATTAATAAATTTATTTATTATTAATTTGATTGCTATTAAATTTAGCACCAAATTTACGAAAAAAGGTGAAATAATGGTAACAATATCTATGAAATCATGGGATATTACAAATGAAAATACAGAAAATGAAACAAGTGCTCAATTACACGTAATTAAAAAAGCAAAATTATTGATTGAAGTAAATGATACAGGTGTTGGGTAAGTTAATTATAAAGTTATGTTTGATAATATTATCATATTTATGAATAAATTCATATAATTTTATTATAATCTCATGTCACAGCATTAATCCTGAGTTCATGCAAAGTATCTGGGAAAGTTATTCAATGGTCGATACATCAATAGTTAGACAACACAACGGTTCAGGTCTTGGTTTGTTCATAAGTAAACAACTAGTGGAAATCAATAATGGTGAAATTGGAGCAGAAAGTAAATTAGAAAAAGGAAGTAAATTCTGGTTTACATGGAATATTGAATTATTACCAATATCAACTACTCTAAAAACCTTAAATTTTAATACTGATTCATTGCAAATATCATCATCGGATACAAAAGTTAATCGTAATTTATTATCATATATCAGATTTAAGCGCATATTATTAATTCATCCATTTGAAAACGCGAGAAATGCAATAATAACCTTCCTTAAAAATATAGAAAGGGTTGGCGTATTTGATACATGTGATAAAGGAATTCGAGCAGCAAAAGAACACAAAGAATTATTTAATCAAGCAGCTTATGATATAGCTTTTATTAACCTTTACGAAAAAGATATGGAAGAAGTTACAGAGGCTGCATTAAAACTAAAAATGATACATGAAGACAATTTATCGATTGTTTTCATGGTATTTCCAAGTATTAAAGGAAGAATTATAGCAAAAAAATTAACAGATAAAATTGGAGGAAATGCTGCTAGCATCTTTAAACCAATTACATATAAAAAAGTTATCAATCAATGTTTGCGTAATAATAATTTAAAAACGGAAATAGAAAATAGTGTTAAAAATTCTATTAGTTATAATATTCAAAGTTTGCCTCTTAAGAACTTGTAAGATTTTTATTTATGTTATATATGTTAATATAAGCTATTATTATATTTTTAGTTTTATTTGTTGAAACCAATTTATTTAGCTTAATAATGCAAAAAATAATTTATATAAGAATAATACAGAATTTATTTATTTAAGTTTTAATTATAACTAGCACATGTTCATATGTGGCGACTTCGCGGTCATGATTCAAATTAAATATTCAAATTACGTACAGTTTAGGCTTCCGCAAGGGTCGGGTAGAACCGGGTACTAATAGTATCCTAACCCTACCCGCCTAAATAGAATTTGTTTAAATCTATATTATATGCTAATTAAAAATAACAGAAATAAAATAATTACTATTTTTCTAATAATCACAAACTCTATTATCCTAAACAAAATTATATTTTTATATTAATTGATAATCTATAAATCAGTAAATAATCGTAATATAATATAATGCAGATTACTATATAATTTAAATAGATAGTGAAAGTAGAATATTTTTGTATTTCTTCAAAATTATTTTTTTACTAAGTAAATATTCTTTAGGCTTCTAAGTAAATTTTAAAGAAGTTCAAAGCAGTTCTAATAGTTGTTAAAACACTAAAATTAGCCTAGTAGATCACGAGATATTCAATAAATTAATTTTATTTATTATACATATAAATTTAAGAAAATTACTAGATTTACCCTACGGGTATAGTACCCTATTTTTAAGAAAATAAAAATTTAAAATTAACTTTAGGGTTAGGGTGAGCACTATATTAGGGTTAGAGTTAGAGATTATATGTAAAATTGGACGCTAAAAACTTTTACTTAGTAACACAAAGCAAGTTTTCATAATAAAATTTTGAGATATTAGCGATTTTTAATTTTTTTCTTAATTTTTAAAAATTTCTTTATATTCGTTACACAGATATCCTGCGATCTGATTGGTTAATCATATAAACCGGGTACATACCCATAGGGTACAAATAGAAATTCTCTAAATTTTTTATAAAAAATTTTATATGTAAACAAAGCCAATTTAGTGAATATAATAATTGGGAATGAAAAAAGATCGTTACTGGGAAAAATATTTGCTATTCTTGATACAAATGTGGAAGTAATGACATCCTAGTAATTATTAAAATAATTATAGATGTAAGAACATCATTAATTATTTTAGATTTAAAATTTAATTTTGTAATAAGCATAAAAATTATCTTAAATTTCATATTCCACTTAAACTTAAAGTAAGTTGAATTTGAATTCTTTAACAATTCGGGTACATTTTAAAATTACAACCAACGTTATTTGGAATCTACTTAGGCAGATTCTAAATCTGCAATAATACCTTTCCGACGTACTACATATATAAACTCTCTAATTTAATGAAATAATTATTTTTGTAAAGCATATTTGATAATATTTTATAATCTTTAGAACTAATGTTATTACTATAAATATGTAAATTAATTAAACTAGTATTTTTATAGAGTGCTTCTACTATTACTTTTATCCCTTCAAAACCAAATCGATTGTGCCTAAGTTCTAAAGAAGTTAAAGTCTTATTTTTATAAAAAGCTCTTGATAGTATTTGTCCTTCTTTAACAGTAAGTTGAGTATCAGAAATATTTAGGCTAGTTAATGTTGTATTTTTGCAAAGAGCATCGGCAATTGCTTCTACTCCCTCAAAAGTAAGTATATTACCAGAAATATCTAGGCTAGCTAAAGTGTTATTTTGACAAAGAGCATCTGCCAATTCTTTTATCCCTTTAAAAGTAATAATATTGTTATTAAGATTTAAAGAAGTTAAATTAACGTTTCTGTAAAGAGCTACTGCTAATATTTCCACTCCCTCTGAACCAAGATTATTGTGGGACAAATCCAAAGAAGTTAACGTAATATTTTTATCAAGAACCTCCGCCAATACAATGCATCCACCAAAGCCAATATAATTGCAACTAAGATTTAAAGAAGTCAAAGTGTTATTTTTACAAAGTGCTTCTGCTATCACTTTTACTTCTTCATCATTAATTTTATTATATCCAAGATCTAGAAATGTTAAGCTAGTATTCCTGCAAAGAACATCTGATATCACTTTTATTCCTCCGAAATTGGAATGATAATAAAGTTGTAATGAACTTAGAGTATTGTTTCGGTAAAGGGCTTCTACTAGTGACTTAATTTCGTTAAAACCAAGTTCATGATCATAAATATACAAAGAAGTTAAGGTAACATTTTTGTAAATAACCTCTATAAATGCTTTTCCACCTTCAAACCCAATTTTATTACAACTAATATCTAAAGAAGTTAGAGTAGTGTTTTTAATAAGAGCTTCTGCAATTATTTTAGCCCCTTCATCGCCAAGTTCATTTTCGGAAATATTTAGAGAGGATAAAGTTGTATTCTCATATAAAACTTTTGCTAATATTTCTGCTATATTAGGACCAAGGTTACATTGACTAAGTCTTAATAAGGTCAAGTATGCGTTGTTACAAAGAGCATCTGTTAATGTTTTAACTTCTTCTAAACTAAGTTTAATTTGAGAAAGATCTAAGGAAGTAATTGTAGTATTTTTATAAAGAATTTCTACCAATTTTTTTACTATGTTATTATTAATAATTTCTCTTATATTTAAAATCTTGATTTTTTTACTTGTTCGTAAAAACATTGTAATCAGAGAATCTTTAACTATTTGAATCACATTCTCTGACTTTTTATATTTATCATAATATTCAGAATAGTTTTGAGGCTCATGTCCCTCACCGCAAAGCCAATTTATGATTCCTTCATATAAATTATCGAAGTTTATTAATGTAATATATGATGAGTATTTGAATAATAATCTTGTTCCATTTGGAGGTAATATATTTAATGGAATTAATGCCACTTTTTCTTCGGCATTTAATAACATAAAGTATATTTCTATAATTCTTCTATCATTATTATATGATAATGGTTCACTCCACAATATTGGAACTACATTTCTACACCATTGACGGTTTACAAGAAGACATGAAAATAAGAATCTATGATAATTTTTAAAATTATTAAAAATTTCAAAAAGGCATTCATTTGGTAATGCTAACATTTTTGAAAGAATGAAAAATACGAAATTATTTGTTATTTATGATTTAAAGATACGTAAATATGAATGTACAATACGTCACACAATGGCGTTCAGTTATAATTACGTTGTGTGAGGGGTACTGGATCTCTTATGCAAAAACATAACAATCAATATGAATATTTGACTCGAGAACCTTGAAGGGGAGTCTTTAATAAAGGACTTTTGTACAAGAGAAATACATTGAGGCTTCAATAATTTATCCAAATTGAGTATCGGGGAATCTACAGTACATGACTATGACCTTTGTACTTACCAAGCAATTACATATTCGACTGTTCTTAATGGGTTTCGCCTCGAACCAAACCCAAAATAGCATTTGGGTAGTTAATCCACGTGCATCTACGTATCACAACCCTGTTAAAAACCTGTTCAACACATTTTAGCTAATCAGGCTTTCCGAGTTAACTAAATTTAATGAATTTTTTTTATTTTAATATCGTGAATTCATAGAATCAAAATAAAAAATTTTCAACGAATTTAAGTTAGGTGGTTATCAAGATATCTTCGCTCAAAGTGTTTAAAAAATCTAAAACGTAATATCAAAATAACTGCTCAAAATTTTTAAAACTTTAAGCAAAGATATCACTGAACTTTTTATTTTGATTCTATGAATCCACGTTATTAAAATAAAAAAAATTCATTAAATTTGATTAGGTGATTGTCGAGATATCTTCGCTCAAAGTTATGAAAAATAGACAAGGTCACGTTATTATCGAAAAGCTGAAACGTGTCGATCTTAAACAGATTTTTAAACAGGTTTGGGCAAATAGAGGGTGTCCAGGATTATGATGCGAAGATTGCATGCGTCAAATTATGAGAATTATGCGAATTATTGCGAAATTTTGAGTTATTAGGCAAATTAAGATGACAAATCAGGTGATTACAGTTACATGTTGTGAAGGGGAGATCGACACCCCGGATCCGGCGTCACACAAATTTACGAAATTCATGAAATTCGATGAATTTGTGGAATTAGTTCAATGGAGTGAAATAACTTAGTAACCAGAATTCGTAGAATGGTTACTATATAATAAATAGTAATGAAGAAACATAATTAGTGGATAGGGTTAATAGTAGTAATAACTAGAACTTTTTGTATTCTTCATGTATTAAAGAAAAGTATATATAGGCTGAATAATCGCCCTCAAAAAAGCCAACTCACAGAGTTCAAAAAAGTAAAAACTTTCTGAGTCTTGATAGTCTTGAAAAGAAGTGTTTGTTTATCTTTGAATAAGTTTCCCTTTAAATTGATACAAATTGTTGTGTAAATAATTAAATCGTTTCTTGTTAAGTCTTGTCCCCGTGATATTTTCTCGTTAATATAGTTTCCAGTTAGAGTAAAAGTACCCAAATTATTATATCGCATACCCTTTTATAGTACTCTAGATTGATAAAACAATTGATCAATATCGTAATTGTTAAATCGACCTACCAATAAATTGAACCCTCGTGACAACCAAATCGTGACCAAATCGTGATTAAATCGTGACTTCCAATAAACGTGACCAAGACAATCCATCGACCCAACTTCTATAACCAAAAATACTTACCCAAGTAACCCTAACCTCGGACCAAGTTAATCCTCGCCTCTTTCAAGCCTTATCCAAGCAAGGGTTACCTCTTAGTTGGATTTTTGGATTATCTCGGCTTATTTGTGTAGATTAGCTAAACCCGAACCTTTGTGTAACCAAACCTCCGGACGAGTTCTAGCCTAGAACCAATCCTCACTTTTTCAATGTTCAATTCTTTAACCAATCAATTTTTGTTTATATGTGCATGAAAGTAAGCAAATTATGCGCATATGTCCATCATGATCCTGGACACTCTAAAGCACGCTAGTTAATCCACGTGACCATGGTTGGAGCAAGGTAAATGATTACATGGAGCTCGGGAAATGATGCTA